TCGCTGCATTTCTAGATCTCCCTTTCCGAGCATCTCAGGTAAGATTAACTGCTATTAGGACCACCCCGACCAGAGATAGCTGTAGTTGGCAGCCCTACGTTCACCGCTGACTGGAGGCAATGTGTTTATCTAACGCGCTTGCGACTTGTGAATTGGCAAGTGTTGTTTGACCAGTTGACACAAATTTTGTTGCTCTTGTTTGACCAGTCGGATTCAAGCTCTTATAGACCAGTTTTGGATTGGACTGGTCAAACAAGAGAAGTCAAATTTTTGTGAACTGGTCTATACCAGTTTTGCACTGGTCAAACTGGCTCCCAATGTTTTTCAATGTCTATAAACTTTGAGTTCAGTCTGGTCAAATTTGAATCACGTGGTCACTTTTAGAGTAAATAAAAGTTAAAGGTGATATCTTGACATGGAACTCTATATATTATAATCATATCTGGTTACATGTGATACCTTGTCCCAAGTTTTTGGTCCATATGGATGGATAGAAAGTATTGAAATACTTCCATATAATCAAGTTTTTATCTAGTATCAACATCTTAAACATGCTGTCGATGCTAGAAATTCTCTAAATGGTCGATGCATTTATGTCAAATTGTTGTTGGATGAATAATCACACATTTGACCTAAATGCAAAAGCCAAAGAATTATGAGATTGTTTGCAACAGTACAAGAGTAGAGCTTTAGAGTGTACATATTCCTATATTAGAAGATGAGATCTTGAAGTTTCTTATGAATCATCATGGGCAGCACTAGGGACATTAACTCCAACTGAAGTTATTTCCATTGATGTTGACCTTGTGAAGCTCCTTTTATGCCTCATTCTCCTATCCGAGTTGTTCTTGTTGTGGTAGTAAACAGATTTCTTAGAACAATTTCATTTTGCCTTGTTGGGTTTCACGATCATATGGAACCAATAATTTTGGTTAACTTTAGCCTTTTTATGGAGATTATCACAATTCTTGACTTTTTGAAAGTCTTTTCAATTGTGATGATTTGTTGTTTCAAATTCAAGTCTGAGTTTCATCAAGTGACATAGAAACGATGTATGATAGGAAGATATAGATTTAGAATGGTTTTAGTATGAAGAAAGGTCAATGTAGTTATTGCAACTATTTAGTATTTTTATTAACTTATTTTGGTAGATTTTAAATTATTAGAAATTTAGGTATTTAGTTAGGTTTCACAATATAGCAACCTTTTATTTCCCCTTTTATTATAATCTTTCTTATTGGTTGTAATTAATGCCTATAATAATCATAATTAATAAGAAGATAGAAGATGATGTATTAAGCATTTCTGTTGTTAGGGTTATCTCTCTGTTTCCTTTCTTTTAGTTATTTTTGTGTCTAATCTATCCCATTTGATTTATTCTCTCTATATTTCTTCATCTTGATCTCCAATTTCTTCTCTATGTTTTTGTTTCTAACCTAAATTTTCTTTATTTTGAAACTAATTTTAAGCAAGTTAGTTTCAGGCCTACTTGCACTACATCATGAATCCCACAGCTTTCTCCCGTTTTGAGCACCATAAAAGAAGATACCTAGGGAAATTTTATCTTGCATGTAAAATGAGAACTGATTGGTGATGAAATAGTCCCTTTTCCTCAAATTATCTGCGAGGCTTGCCAAACCAAAAAAGGTTAAGCAAGGGGCTTTATGTTTCCAGATTGGCTTCCAGGGGAGTATTCAGGATTAGTCACAGTTCAAGAGGGCAAAATAGCAACATTTGATCGACAACCTCCCATTCTTGGTGACTTTCCAAACTGCCTCGTATTCACTGCACTGGTTCATTGAGCAATTCCAGGGCTGCAAACAAATTACTGTATTCCTCAATCTCTCAATAATTATTGTAGATATCATGGAGGACAATGTGCTATGAGCCACCTTCCACAGTATCCTCAGCTAAATCCCCTACTCTGGCTTCTTTGGCAAGGGCTAAACAATTGTTGCTAGGTGATTGGATTTTTAAAGGTTGATCCCCACGCCACAAATCCTTCAATAATCTCACTCTACGAACATTACCTACATTGACATGAATAAGTCAGCAAAGTTAGGCCACTCCCCCTGATCCATTTTCACAACCTCATTCCATAGGCTCTTGTGCTCAAACTTGCCATCCAGCCCATTTGTGAGCCCATATCTCACTTGGAGTACATTTCACCACGGACTTCCCAACTAGTGAGGAAAGTAGTATTATAACTAAAAATATTCAACATAATGTTGTTAGTCTTGGATTGAACCAGTTTGCTAGTGTTATGAGTTTTAATCAAATAAAATAGCAGCTAGTTTTTCCATTAGTATTTAAACAATTACAAGGACAGATCAAATGGAAAATTCAGTTTCTGTTTAGCGTTTTATGTTCACTATCAAGTTTTTTTTTTTAGATTTATATGTTTGATTATGTCTGTTTCTTTCTGATTCTTCTAGAAGCAGTTCTTGGGTTTGTGTTGACAGTTGTTTTTGCTGTACTGTCCCATAGCCTGCTGTTATTTTAACCTATTTAAATTTTAATAGAAAAATAAAATTAAAAAAGGAATAATTTTACTTAAGTTTTGAGAACTTTAAATGAATAGATTGTGGATTCTTTCATAATAAAGACCGATCATTTTAGTCAACATAAAGCAGAAAGGAAGGAAGTTGTGGTGCTCATACTTCGGATCCTCTTTCAGTTTCTAAATTTCCAAATAATAACAAGATCTAAAGTGGGGAACATAGCATTTAGTATTAGAGCCTGCCATTGTAGGTGATCTAAGATCTCTTGAGCAACAACTTGAGACTTTTTGCAAATGTACCCGGAGAATTGGGCATTGCAACATCTTGAGCAGGAGCATGACAGGGATGAACAACAAGATTTAACAATTAAGTTAGAAGAAATTTTGATGAAATTTTTCAAGCACCAGTCTACATGTCAAAAGGGAAGAGAAGATAGTCTTATTAGGGGAAGACATTACTGGCAGCCTGAAACTGGATTGGGAAATGATCAGGCTGATGCTTGTCATCAGAACAACATTGGTGGGTGTTGATTGGGATTTCCATCTCCAAGGCAACAGTTGTTGGGGTGCACTTCCCAAAAAACTTTTGTACCCTGCAGATTATGAAATTATGCAAGATTCCAAAGCAGGATAGAAATTGTTCTAACGCTAAAAGGAGGTTGGTTGCAGATTTTATTCCGCTCATGGAGAACTGATAGACATTGTTTTGAGACTAGTTGAAGGCCTCCTGGTTACCCTGACCTCAAGCAGAAATTTACTTGGGAAATTTCATCTGTAATGGTTAATTACAAATTTTATTCCATATGTCAACAGGATATGCAGATGTGGAACATGTCTCTCCTGCAGATGCTTTTTAGAGGTTTTATTCTCCACCATTTTATCTTTTGTGCTTGAGGAGAAGTTCATTTTCGAGAGAGAGAGTGGAATTATAAGCTTTAATCAAATGAAACAGCAGCCAGTACCATTAACATTTTAAATAGTTGTAAGGACAGATCATTATATGGAAGATACAGTATCTGTTCAGTTTTCTAACAGCTTACTACCAGATTCTTATTTAAAAAAAATTTAAATGTTTGATTATGTCAATTTCGACGGTACTGCTAACCAATATGGCCGTTAATGGAAAAATAATATGCTAAGTAGATAATAATTTCAGAATTGTTTCAAGTACTTTCTTACTTAGAGTTCGTTGGATTATTTAACATTTCCAAATCATTTTTGTCAAGATAAGGTATTGCAGCAGTCTTACTTGGTAAATCCTCTTTCTACTTTTGCAACTTTCAAACTCGTAGCAAGATCCTAAAGTAGGATCTTAACAGCGAGTTTCTAGAAACCATTAAAAGAACAGTTGGGTTTGATTCTATTAAATTTCGTTCTTTTAAACTCACTTGCAAGCTTATCCTTTTTAAAATTGGCGATAAGGTTTTGAACTTCATAAAGTTGACATTCAAAAGTTATATGGGAAGTTTATTTTTACTGCATTGTTTATTCTTGATTTACATAGTGCTTATCCAAGAGAAAGTAATTTGCTTCTAGATGGTTTTCTTTCTACTGTTTGAATTTAAATGGTCAGTTAGGGTTCACTTCTTTACCTTCTTGAAAGCAATTTTGCCTCTTTTTAAAGTATAGCTCTCTTGTTTCTGTTGGGGGTATGAACAGTCATTGATGTTGCTTATTTTTGTACAATAAGCTGACTATATTTAATAGCAATTTAGTTATGCTTTTTAAAATTTAACTATTATTCTTTTGGCTGAACACAGAGAAACAGTCACTGGCGGGTTCAGAACCTTGTAAACCACCCTCAAAGTATAAAAAATGGTTCTGGTCCAGGGTCAACATATACTGGGAAGTTTGAAGAAAACAATATAACCATTGCCCCAAGTATGCTCACTGGCTCGCAAAATCCTCTCGAGCCTGATGCTAATAGAGATGTTGCCTGCAAAGTTATGGACCGACAGCCTGAGTTAGCAAGTAAGGGAGTAGCTTTGCCCATGCCTTTGCAGGCAAACATGGCTGCTCAAGGTGATTGTGTTCCTGCACACCCTCTTCAAAGACCTGTCTCTGACGCTCAAACAAGTGAGTGTGTCAGTAGCGATTCACTGAGCCAAGAGGAGCTAAATATTGAAGGGGGAACAATTAACATATCCAGTGTTTACTCGCAGGGGTAGGTAAAGCTAAATTTACTCTTTATCCTCCGTTTTTGAGAGTTGGGGAGGGGACAGGATGTATCTGCAATCTTTAAGAAGCATGAAGCTTTCCTGGAAGCATATGACCTACCACCAATGACATGACTTCATTTATTTGGATTCTGATTTTTTTTTTTTCCCATCTCTAAGCTTTTTTGTCCACTCACCGTCAAACTTTGTTTGTCTTTGTGTGTTAAGATCATAGTTGACAATTACTAACAAGCACATTAATAATTCAATTCTTGTCACGTTATTAAGCACTGTGACACAAGCATTGCAAAATGCAGCGTAGATCTATCACAGGCGAACATCTCCGTGCAGATTGATCTCGGGCGGCGGGCAAATAGGGGTATGACCTCTGGAACAGTTTCAGCCAAGGTATGATTTGGAAAACAACAGAAAATATTAGATCCTGTAGCAGTACATG